AATAAGCCCCTTTAAAAATCACGTTCTTGAACTGTATTGTTTATGTTCATTTGAATAATTTATTTATTATATAATTTATTTATAACAGTAATTACTAGTATTATTTTAATGCCAAAAAAACATCAGGTTTGAAAAAAATCGGTTGGTATTTTATGCATCACATGCATAATTTATTATTTAAAAAAAAATTTATTTTTTTCAGAAGCAAGAGACTTCTAGTAAGCGACTTCCGTTTTATGGAAATCTGTCTTTTTTAAAATAAGCCCCCAAGCACGCGATGTAAAAAATAATTAAATAAACAATTTATCATTAGTTAAATGTATTATCAGTGAATGCATATGAAAATGAAATATTATAGGTACGAACCACACGATAAGTACAAGAAACCGAGTTTTTGCTGTCGGCAGCTATCGTAGCAAAGTGAGTAAGGTACCCGACTCTTATACGGAAGGTTGAAGGATCATATCTCTTCATTGAAAAGTGTTTTTCCCGCCCGCGGGTGGTTTTGGGAGGCTGGTACTTCCTCGGGCAAAAAAGCAGTTTTCCGATACTCGTTCGAAAAGTCTCCTTTACGAACCTCGTTANGGAAATCGTCCCGCACGAGTTGCGTACAAGTTTTTTCGCAATAAGTGTGCGGAAAATAGGTGTTTTCCGCACTGATATTAGTGTGGAAAATCGATTTTCCCACATATTGTGCGGAAAAGGTGTGTACGTGTGGAAATAGTAGTCGCCTTTGGCTCGGGCCGCAAACCTCTCGGTTCGCAAACAAAGACTTTTCAAACTCGTAGGAAAACTACTATTTTTTTTAGAATTGTAAAAAAAAAAAATTCAAAATGAAATAAAAATTATTGTGGTTAAATAAAATTAAAATTCGTTTGAATATTAATTGCTTGGGAGTGTGAAGGGGAATGGTAGGCAAAGGTGTGGGAGAGTAGTGGGCGACACTGCGCGACGGTTGGAAGATATATGGTGGGGCGAGGGGAAATGTGTAAAAAATTAATCAATACACACGTGTACCCACCGTATGGTATATTCCAGCCCTGTGGGCCGTAATTCCTGCGCTCCTGTACGACCGCGTGAAAAAAGCAGAGCCCGTAGAGGAGCCGCGTAAAGGCTCTCTCTTTTCCGGGGCAGCCGGTGAAAAACTCCAGGTCCTTAACCGGCTCGGAAGCGTATGACCTCGCGAGGTTCTGCCGCAACCCACTCGGGGGCTCGTTTGTCATCTTTTTTGCATGTACTCTATTAGCTACATCCATAAATGAAAAAAAAAAAAAAAAAAAAAAAAGAAATCGTGTATATGTACCTTTACGCCGTTCTGCAGCACGGCAATCGGAAACTTGTCCGATGGATAGCTCGTAAGCCAGAGTCTGAAGTTCCTGGAGGTATTGGCAAAGTCCAGACCTTCGCAGATCTTCTCGAGCTCGGACATCCATGAGACCGCCAGGTGGCTGCACGACGATGCAGATGTATACGTGAATAATTTATTAATAAGGATGTACGTGTATCTTATAGGTAAACATATTTTATGGTTTTAATGAATACCAGCCACTCTCCCCGCGAAGTTTTCAAAAAATCACGTAACAGTCTTTCATTTTCTCAGTTATTTAGTTTTATCATAAAAAATATCCTAAAATTAACACAAAAATTTCGAAGTATTGATTCATTTTACAATAATACAGATAAAAACTCATAAGTTCATTGGGTGTCAGTAAGAATTTCGTATAATCTGTGCCAAATTCTTATTTAATTGAATCATGATTTACGTTATTTTACATATTTTACATTACGTTTTATAAATAATGTTTAATTATGTAGTATTTTGCAAGAAGAATGCATTCGTAACGTAAAAATAGAGGGTCAACCATCGAAATTTTGAAAAAAACTTAATTATAAAAGTAAAACCTTCTTTTTAATCTCATAAGACGTCGCACACTGTTACCAAACAAACTACTTTTCCAACAATAAAATAGCGCCTGCTGTGATCATCCGATTTGAATAATTTCTTTAGAGATTGTAGATAATAGCCTACAGAATATGGAAAAAATGGTCTAAGCAAAAAGGACACTTAGGTAGGTATATTTTCTGGAAATCAGAACAAAATATGTTAAACCATGACAGAATGAAACAACAATAGTCTTGTAAATACGGAAAAAAATACAGAGAGTTACTTTATAATTCACAGGGGTTGAGACCTCAGGGAGCCACTCTCAACCGAGAATTTTGCGTTTAATTAATATTTAGAAGAAAATGTTTCGTTAAATTAATGTTTTACACTTTTTGAAGTCACTAATCATAAATCTACTGTAAATTTTGAACATTCAAAATGAAAGGCACATATAGGGGCAACAACTTGGCCTACATGGGAAATTCGGATATTTTCCAACTACGTACGTCTTTTTCAAACATAAATTAACATCTCTTCCTATATTTTTTGGGCAGTACGTGGTTTAGATATTAATAAACTATTATTGGATGCTTAGATGTTAATAAAGTATCATAATAAAATAAAATAAGATTGGTAGAAAGATCTTGATTAAAAAAAATATGGTTGAGATTATACAAATGTCTTACCGATTGTTTTAACAATATTCGTAAAAAAATTTGTACCTAATAGTCTAAAAAGTTATAGTTTATTCATTATTTTTTTTTTTAATATTGTCTTTTTCTTTTACAAATGTAATTTCAAACGACATAAGTCAATTTTCAAAAATCGTACAAAATACATGTGTATCGTGGGAGTTGTTGATGTTGGCTTTGATCCTTACCTTTACTTTATTTGACACAAAAAAACCGATTGTACAACCCTGTCCTTTGTATAAATAGTTGTATTGCATTTGAAATTATTTAATACCTCCCTTTGTTGTATGAAAAAAAAAAAAAAAAGATTTTGGACAAGTTACTCACACGTTGTTCAAGCACACCCACAGCCCGTCCTCTTGCGCTCGCTCGATGAGGCCACGAGCAATGGGACCCTGGCCCTGGCCCAGGGATATCGAGAAGAAGCGCGACAGGTAGTCCGACTGCTCGGCAAATTTGGTGAGAGCACCCATGGGATCCGAGCCCGGGGACAGGATGAATATCAGAGGCACCAGGCAGTTAGAGTCAGCGTACGAGCGCGCGATGTCAAACGCCGGGGGCGTCACGTAGCGCGCGTCCATGGACTTCCTCACGAACTGCACGACCTGAGGGCATCGGCTGGTTGGAGGATCACAAGCATCGGAATCGAGGATATTCGGCCCCTACCTTTGGGATGACCTTGTCGGGCCGGAGCATCCGCATGACCACGAGTTTCTGGAAGTCATCAAGCCGGGACTCCCAAGGCTCGGGAAGGCTGGCGTCTTCTGGGTTGACGGCGTCGTAGAACGGCTTCCAGGCGGTTGGGTCGAACTCCCCGGGGAGTCTGGCGAAAGTCTCGAGGTTCGCCGAGCGTCGAATCTCATCCCAGGACTTGTCCGAGAGCCAGGCGGGTGCGGGGTTTGGTCGTGCGCTCGCGAGGGGCAGGACCAGCCCGCCCGTGAGGAAAAAGGCCATCTCGTCCCGCGAGACCAGGCCGTTAGCTTGCATTATCGTCGTGCAGAGGATGAACGAGTACAGGACCTGGTATGGCCACGGAAACAACCGGATTAGGATGACCAGCTGCCTTGGTATGGGGCGAGGATGTGCTCTCACCTTGTCCTTCTCGAAGAGGGACCGGCAGACGTTCTGGTAGAGGTTGTAGGTGAAGGTCTCGCGGAGAAAGGCCAGCCTCTTTTCAAGCACGTTGCTCTTGTTGGCGGTTTCGATCGACATGACGTAGAGGTTGATGAACCACGCGAGCGAGTACTGGTACATGGGATCGATGTTGGGCAGATCCGTGATCGTGTAGTAAAGGGCCGCGCTGTGCTTGGCTATGGGCTGGTAACGCTGACGAAAGGCCTCGATTTTCAGCTCCGTGTCCTTGGCCGTGACTTGCTTGCGCTGGATGTCGATCGACAGAGTCTTGGATGAGTCGAGGATCTCGATGGCCTCCTCGTCCTCGAGGATGCTCGCGCCCGCGGTCGACAGGGTTCTCAAGATGTTGTCTTCCACCTGTTTGTATTTTCATCAATATCATCATTCGAGCAATGCTCCAAGGGAGGGGAGGTACTAGCCTGCTTGAGAGCCTTTTTGTTGGCCGCGCCCTCGACGATCAGGTACTCGCGCTTCTCCTGGAGGTCGGGGCGCTCCTTGGCGACGACGATACCGAGGAGCTGGTCTTCGAGGCCCTCGATGGTCAGGGCGAAGTTTATCAGAGTCACTTTGTTGAACACCTCGGGTAGGTAATGGGGATTGCGCAGCTTCGTCGTTACGTAGAGTCGGAAGTCCAGACTGTACTCGAGTGACTTTTCGCCGAGTGTTATATACCAGGTACCGGCGACCTTGTAGATGTTCTTGGCGAGGATCGGATCCAGGGGAGCGTCAAGCTCCTCACCCACGTTTTCAATCAGCACCGGTTTGCCTGCGTGAAAGTACCATTGTTCTTTACAGGTACTCCACCAGTACTACCAGATTAAAATGTTTTATTTGGTGCTACAAAATAGAACCATATTCAATGCACTGCTCGACAATGTTCATGTAGTTGGTATCGGTGAGCTTGACGATCTCGAGGGCGTTGGCCTTCTCCATGCTGCGTATCCACTTGTTGGCTTGGCTCTGAGGGTCGATGAACAGGCTGCAGCGCTTGGTGTTGTCCATGATGATGGCGTTCTCCGTGGAAAAGGAGTCCCTCGGTAGACCGTAGATGTTCCACGAGTTGATTTTAATCTCAGAGCCGAGGACTCCGACGAAGCTGTAGTCCTCGGATCGGGGGATCTGCAGCTGGCCCACGTACTCGGTCCACTTGACGAGGCTCTCGAGACGGTAGGCGCTGGTGTACGGTCCGAGGTAGGCTATCATACCGCAAGATATGAGCACGTCGCCAGGAAGACAGTCGTAGGCTCGCTGTAGATTCGCGGCGCACTCAATCCAACGGTTCTTTTCTCCCCCCAGACCACTGCGAGAAACCAATTTTTTTTTTTTTTCAAATAGATTCTACTAGAGTCGATCATGACTGTCACTGTTTACCTGATGAGCTTTTCCGCTCGAATGAGCTTGTTGCTGCAGAGGATCACCTGATTTTCCAGGTCAATCTTTGTCTCGATGGTCCGGGCGAGTTGGGCGTTCAACGCCGCCAGTTTCGCGTTGAGGTCCGCCAGCATCTGTCGCTTTTTGTTCAGTAGGTTCATCGTATCTTCGAACATTTGCTCTGCCTCGGCAAGCTTCGCTTGCTTCGGTTTGACGATTTTTATCACCCGGTCGTAGAGCACCAAGGCTCTTACCCACTTGCAGAGTCCTTCGGCAGCTTGAGAGGCCTTCGCCACCTTGGACGGCTCGAAGTTTGCGTCCTTCAAGTAGACTTTTTCGATGGTCTGGAATTTTCATGAATTGAGAAAGTAGGTCTTTTTTTTCATGCCCCGGGTACGTACCTGCATTATGCTCGGGTTGATGTTGTCCTTGTCGTAGTCTCGAAGGTAGTCGAGAAATTTAAGGTCACTGAGGATGCGTTTGCTGGGGCCCCAGTAGTCCAGGACCTTTCTGCCCGTGGTCGGATCGGTAAGACGATCGGGTTGCACGCTCATCATTATGCACACGGCCGCCATTACGAGCTTAACGCCCTCTGGTGGATTTTTCATCGACTTTACGAGCGTTATGTCGGCCGGTTTCAGCGTGTTCAGTGCAGCTACAAAGAGTTTTTTTTTTTTTTTTTTTAATTTTAGTCTAAATAGGAGGAATGAAAAATAAAAAGTATCCTCCGTCGAGTACCAATAGCTTCGTCGAGGATGGGCAGCGCTTCGGCCAAGTCGGCTTCGCACTCGGCTTTCAGAGCACCGGCCACTTCGGCCTGCTTGTTCGCTGCGTCCTCCTCTTTTTTAACGATTTTCGTGGTCTGCTCGACCGACAAGTTTTCACTTTCGATCTTCTTCATCGTTTCCATGGTCAGTTTGGCCGATTTCTTGAGCTGGGGCTGCAGAGAAGTGAGGGTCATCTGCATCTTGGTGACTTGTTCGGCCGCGAACTCGAGCTTCTCGAGCCCACCGATGTACCGATCTCTAGCCAACGATACTTCCTCCTGTTTCTCCTTTATGAGCACCCCGAAAGCCCTGATGAGATCGAGAAACGCCGCCGATGTCACGTACGTCTTTCGGCCCAGTGTTCTGTAGAAACGGTCGCTCATCTCCTTGGCGCAATTGTGGAAGTACTTGCACGCGATAACAGCGTTGGTCTTCACCTCTTCCGCCACGTCGATGTGCGTGGTGCTGCGAAGCGCGACCTGTTCAAGAGCCTCCTCCGGCCAGATTTGAAACCAGTCGATCGTGCAGCAATTCACGAAGCTAGGGTACATCCTTAGACGCGTTCTAAACGATTCTCCGATAGGACTGAAGCAGAGCATCACGTGCAGCTTCTCCTTGCAACGATTCACAAAGAACCTCAGGATCGAAAGGACCGAGATGTCGAGGTTTCGATTGCCACCCTGAGCTGCCAGTCTCGTCATCTCAACGACCTCCTGTTTCTCCTCAACGTTGAACAGATTTGGAACTTCACCAGAGTTCAGGAGACCGTCGATGTCCGACAGATAGGACTCGTCCTTGATCTGAGCTTCGGTGAATAAAAACACCGTATCTTTACCGCTACCGGCGATTTTCAGGACTTTTTTTATGTCATCCCTCCACTCGTTGGTCCCGTAGGAACTACCGATCTCCGGCTGGAATAATCCACTGCCGGTCATTGTGGCGGCCAGATTGGTTAGCGATTGCCGTCCAGATCCACCTACTCCGACCATCAGTAAGCTTCCACCGGGAATCGCTAGGGTCCGGCAAATCCTTGCAAGATGCTCGAGAGCGTAGCGGAACATGACAATGTCCATTTTATTTTTGTGAGTACTGTTGTACTCCTCCAAGCACAACAGCGATACTTTCTTGTACTCCTCGATTGACGCGATCTCCTCGTACTTGCGATCTTCCGCAAGCGCTTCGGGGTCCATGAAATTACCAAATATCAGATGCTGAAGACTCTCTTCGGTCAGTTTTTCGTCGTACCTCGGCAGATCGGAGAACAAGTTGTCGAAAGGTTCTCTGAACGTTTTCTCGACGGCTTCCCTGATTCTCCCGAAAAGCCACACGTTGTCGGTCGCATCAATCAAACGGTCTCCAAAGACGCGTAGGATCTCGTGGGTCCAGAGCCGTATGAACTTGTCCTTAGTTTCGGCCGATTCCTTGCGGATCATCGTACAACCGGTTATCACGCGAGAAAAGTCGCGAAGATTGAAAAGGTAGTGCGATTTCGCGGGAGTGGGTCGCAGCTCGGCTCTCGCGCCCTCGAAAATGACTGTCGTCGCGTTCACGATGCTGTTGACCGTTGTGTTGACGTCGGATGTTGTGAAGCCTCGTCTTTTCAGTCCAAAAAGCGCGACGTTGGTGAATATGCGAAAAATGCTGTCATTTGAGAATTCACTGATCTCGTACAAATTGAAGTGCCTCAGGAATCTGGCGTACAGCTCTTGACGACTGCCACCCGGCGGGGCCATTGCGCAGACGAACATGATGTCGTAAATTTTGACCACCTCGGGCTCCTTCAAGTCGTACCAATGCTCGTGGTCGAAATATTGACGGAGCAGTTCTATGGCTGGCTGGGCGCCGTAGATCTCTTTTGCCGGCATGTTAACGTCATCGATGAAACAGACGCATTGGGTGTTCGCCATGGGACCGTAGTGGCCTTTTCTTCTCTTGAACAACTTGGATATCACAAGATCCTGCGTCTGCGCGGCTGTTGTTCTAGCGGTGAACGTTATGAAATTGGATAAAAACTCTTCACCGCTCAACTTGTTGATCATCAAATCTTGGATGTAAAAGCTTTTTCCCGTGCCGGTCTTGCCAAAAAGGAGAAATTTCTTCTTGTACTTTATGTGACGCCGGAAAATGTGCTGGTACTTGACCGTATCCATCGTCGGGATGAGCATCTGGCTGATGCTTTGGGTTTCTACGATGGGCTCCGCTTTGACCACATCGAAGAAAAACTTCCACATGCCTTTGCCCTTGAAAACAAAATAGTTGTCGTGTATCAGACCATCACTCGGCAGGGAAATGGTTTCACGGAATTCTTCGGGAAGCGGATGGTTGGGATTCTCATTCCTCCAGATAGTCGTGATGAAATCATTGTACTTTTCCCTCGATTCGACGTCCAGCGTTCCTCCGATTCCCCAAACCAACGCCAACAGAAAAGCAGCCTGTAGCCAAAAATCGATGTACTGATTGAAATCCGTACCGTCGGCGTTCTCCTCGACAGCGTCATCCATGAACATGTCTATCAAACTCAAGGTCGACGTAATCTGGTTGATCTGACCGCTAGTCAATGTCATAGTACACTTTCGCTTGGTAAACTCCAGACAGATATCAAAGTACAAGTCGATCAGTGTATTGATGGTCTCCTCGTGATTCTCCCTCCAGGCTGGATTGGCACTGTTGACCCACGACGTGACGGTCGGTCGCCAACCCAACACGTGTGGTTCGATGTAAATCATACCACACCGAGAAACCGTGGCTGGAGATGCTTGCGTCAGATCCATGACCTCGAAAATCATCGACATGACGTTCGTCATTTGCATGACTTCTCCCGAGGTCAGGCACAATTTTTTATTGTCGTCCAGTACGGTGTTCAGGTTCTCGATCCAGACCGCGTCAACGGGCCCGTCGAATATCAGCCATTTCCTGTCAGCCGACTCTTCACTGCAGAACCTCCTGAAGGCAACGGCGCAAACACCGTCCGTCCATTCGGATGAAACGGGATCGAATTGACCGTACAATTGGCCCATTGTTATCGACTTGGGATTTATCACCACGTATCTCGTGACCGCTCCGTTCTCGTCTTCCCACTCGTGCATGAGAGTCAAGGCGTCTGCCAGGGTGTGGAGTACAGTCGTTTTTCCTGACAACAGTAAATTTCGTAACAGTAGGCAAGGAATGACAAAAAAACAGAAGTCATTAAGTATGAAGTTATATAGCCCACAATGTAATTATGAACTTTGATGTACATATCTTGTATGAAACGATAATTTAAGTAACCAACTGCGATGCGTATCGAAGGTGGTGAAATTTATTGTTGATTATTTCAAAACAATTTCTTACGCTGATAAAATCTCTCACTTCCGTCACATATTTTTTAAGAGCGAACATTATGAAGTTGATTTATTTCCACGCATAACGCGCCTGTAGGAGTATAACTTAAAAAAAAAAAAGCAACTCTATTTAATATAATTACCTCCACAAGGATCACCGACGAGCATGAAGCCATGCCTGACAAGCATCATCTCGTAAGTCTGTATGATCTTCAGCAAAAACCCATCGGTCGTCTGGAGATTGCGTTTCTTCGCCACCACGTCGATGGCCCTCAAGAGAACATCGTAGTTTGGCGTCGGCAGTTCAACACCAGGAAACAAATCCGAGATGATCCCTTGGAAGAGAGGAACGTCGTGGGCGAGAAATTTGGGCAAATTGACGTCAATGATCGAGCGCAGCAGCAGTATCGACTCGTTCTCATTGCTGTACTTGAGCTTCAGGTTGCCCGCGGCGACTAGGACCGTCTTAACCGCTCGCATCCCGTAGTCGTAGTGGCTCTGTGAACTAAGTATACCGATGATCTTATGCTTGAGTTCCATTAAAAATAATTAAGTCATGTTGACATGTTCACCTCAACTGCTCGGAGCACAGCTTGTACGTGTAAACGATCTTCTCGGCGAGTGCTCGGGCGTCGACGAACCCGTACGAGTAGAGCGTTATTTCTCCTGTCATGGGTATATTATGTATTATTAAGTGAGTGCGTAATTCATGGTCCATTTAATTTAACCATAAATAAATCATACAAATATTTAAGCACTGTTAAATTACAAAAAAAATTATCTACAAATATTTAAACACACATCGATTGAGCTTATCTTACACATTGTCGGTATTTGCTGGCTTTGGGTCACTCTATTGGTGTGACTTCACTTAGACGTATCAAATATATTTTTTGAAGTTATACTTCTATAGGTGCATTATGCGCGAGGGTAAATCTACGGTTTCAGATTTTGACCTTGAGAAAAAGTGTGTCAGAAGTGGATTTTTCTTGGTTCGCCCCCCTTTCACCCAAGTCGAGGCTCTTACCCACTCTGCTACGGATGACCCCACTGGTGGAATGTTAAATTACTGCATCTTATGGTGTGGTTCGTAATGTATTTTTTCCGCCCTCGGGTGGTTTTGGGAGGCTGGTACTTCCTCGGGCGAAAAAGCAGTTTTCCGGAACTCGTTCGAAAAGTCTCCTTTACGAACCTCGTTACGTCCCTCGCCTTCGGCTCGGGCCGCAAACCTCTCGGTTCGCAAACAGAGACTTTTCAAACTCGTAGGAAAACTACTATT